GGACCGAGGCGGCAGCACCAGAGGGCGTGGGAGGGTGATCTGTGGCAGGATCACACTCAGCAAGTCCACATGAGCCCGATGACAGTGCTGTGTCATGGCGAGGAAGTGCCGCCATAAAATAAGCACTGCCCGTACTACCTTGTACGATAGGGTTTGGATACCCAAAGGCTAGGAGAAGGACACTCTGATGTAACACCGAGGTCAGGTTGGGATCTTGGAGCTGTGGTGGAAGCCACCAACCTACGAGAAGGCGACTCGGAAAATAAACCCCTGGTCCTCCAGGTTGGGGGTTGGACGTTGGGCCGACAACCCACTCTGGAAAAAACAACTGTTACGAATCGTAGAACTAAAGCCTCGGAAGCCGGACGGGAACAAATGGAAAAGACTAGGATACGCACAAAGGACTTACGAATGGGCACATGGAATGTTAGAACATTAGCTGTACCTGGTGGCTGTGATATATTAGATGTAGAATTAAGTAGATATAATCTAGATATAATAGCTCTACAAGAGACCAAATGGCCTTATGCAGGGAAAATCAACACCAAAGAATATGTGATATATTATAGTGGTACAGACAATGGTAGATACTACGGAGGAGTTGGCTTTGCCATAAAAAAATATATTGCTGAGTCTGTGATAGGCTTCACGCCAATAAATGAAAGAGTGTGCAATATTAGAATAAGTGGAAAATTTAAAAATCTATCCATATTAAGTATTTATGCACCAACAGAAGAAGCTGACGATGAGGATAAAGATAGTTTCTATGAAATATTAGAAGAAGAAATAAATAAACTACCATGCTACGATATGAAATTAGTCTTAGGAGATGCTAATGCAAAGGTAGGGAGAGAGGAGATGTGGGCAGAAGTAGCAGGAAAGGAGAGCCTTCATGAAACCACAAATGAGAATGGGCTTAGACTCCTAACGTTGGCTATTTCAACGAGCATGAAAATTAGCAGCACAATATTCCCTAGAAAACAAATACACAAAGCGACTTGGTCATCTCCAGATGGAAGAACTGCGAATCAAATCGACCATGTGCTAATAGACATCAGACATGCTAGTAGCATTATGAATGTGCGAACAGTACGAGGAGCAGAATTTGGGACCGACCATTATTTAGTACTTGTTAATCTAAGACAAAGAATAGCGTTAAAAAGGAAGAAAACATCAAAAAAGGAAATCTTAGACACAGAGAAATTGAAGTTACCACAAGTACAAAAGGAATTCAGGATTAAGCTAGAAAATAGGTTTGAATTACTGACCGGTGAAATCGCAGAACCACCTATAACAGAACCAAATCTTGTCCAAAAACAATGGAAGAGAGTTCAAGGAGAGGTTAACAATACACTTAAAGAAGTGTGTGGTAAGAAAAAGAAGACTAAGAAAAATCCATGGTTCTCGGACGAGTGCCAAACTTGGTAAACAGAAGAAGAGAAATCAAGATCAAATGGATTGCAAGCAGGAGAGCTGACAATGAAGAAGAGAAGAGGAAATCAGAGCAGCTTAGAGTAGAATACTGTGAAATTAACAGAAATACAAAACAAATGCTTAAAACATGTAAAAGAAACTTTCTGAAGCAAAAACTGACCAAAGCAGAAAACGACAGAACCACGAACAACACCAGGGATTTTTATAGAACAATTAGATTTTTCAAAAGTGGTTTCTCTGCAAGAACCTATGGAGTTAAAAATAAAAGTGGAAATGTAGTAGTAGATAAAGAATCAGGCATTAAAGTATGGAAAGACTATTTTGAAGAACTTCTAAACTGTGATGGACCGACAATTAGAGACATAGAAGAAAATCTAAGCTACCACAATGTTGAACCAAATGTTTTACCACCCTCAGAACAGGAAGTAGAAGAAGCAATTAGGTTACTCAAATGCAATAAAGCCCCTGGAGAGGACGGAATCACAACGGAAGTAATTAGAAGTGGTGGAAAAGTCCTAATCAAAGAAATTCATAGCCTTTTAACAAATGTATGGAATAATGAAATAATACCAGAGGAGTGGGCAGAAGCGATAATAATTCCATTACATAAGAAAGGTAACAAACAGTCTTGCTCAAACTACAGAGGTATCTCACTTCTAAACACAGTATATAAAATATTCTCAAAAATTCTATTAATGAGACTAAATCCGTACACAGAATCAATAATTGAGGATCAACAAGCCGGCTTTATGAAAGGTAGATCGACAGTAGACCAAATATTTTTGCTTAAACAGGGAATCTCAAAATATTATGAATATAATAAGAGTTTTTATGGGATATTTATTGACTTCAAGAAAGCTTACGACAGCATTGATCGAAGGACCTTATATAGGAAAATGGAAAAACATGGCATACCTAAAAAGTTAATAAATTTGACAAGATTATGTGTTGACGAATCAAAAGCGAAAGTAAAGGTAGATGGAGAAATGTCAGAGAGCTTTAGTATAAATACAGGAGTGAGACAAGGGGACGGGATTTCCCTTACTCTTTTCAACATAGCGATTGAAGAAGCTCTACAAAAAGTAAAAAATCTAAAGAGGGGCCTAAAATTGGGTGTAGACTTAAATGTCATGGCCTTTGCAGATGATGTGGCGATATTGGCTGAAAAGTCGGAGGATTTGTGTTTTCTAGCCGACAAGTTTATTCAAGAATGTAAAAAAGTGGGTTTGGAACTAAATGAGGAAAAAACCAAAATAATAAAGTTTGGACGACATCCCATCAATAGAGGCACCAATTTCAATATAGCCAACTAGTTAATTGAACCAGTAGAAAGCTTTAAATACTTAGGAGTTACTGTAAATAGCTTTAACATGGAAGATACAGAAATATTAAGTAAATTAGCAAATGCCAATAAATGTTTAGGTGCATGTATGAAGCTACTGTCATCAAGACTCCTATCATCTGATACAAAAATAAGAATATATAAAACCATTATTCAACCAGTATTATTGTATGGAAGCGAGACCTGGGTCCTATCCAAAAGAAATGAAGGACGCTTGATTGTTTTTGAAAACAAGGTCCTAAGAAAAATATTCGGCCCAGTAAACGAAGAAGGAGAATGGCGGATTAGAAAAAACAGAGAGCTACGAGCGTTATACCAGGACCCTGATATAATAGCTTTGATAAAGGCAAAAAGATTAGGCTGGCTAGGTCATGTATTGCGAAGGGAAGAAGGAACAAGACTGAAGGAAGTATGTTCTGCTGTACCAACTGGAAAGCGTCCACTGGGTAGACCAAAAATGAGATGGTATGACCAAGTTAAGAGAGATGTGAGTCAGTGTGGAGGGACAGTGGAGATGGCAGCGGACAGAGAAGCGTGGAAGAGGCTGATCTACGAGGCGAAGAATCGACTGCGATTTGTAGCGCCCCAGCAGTAAGTAAGTAAGGGTGTGAACAAATAAAATAGTCCAATGTTTTTTTTTAAATTTTTATCAAACATCTTAATTTTTATCTTTGAATCTATTTACAATGGAGTTTTTACCACTGATCCTCCGTCATTTTCTATTATTCTTATTCAAAATTTAATGTATAACACGAAAATGACATTGTCTACTTAAATCCATTTACAGGTAATTGAGAAATAGCTGTATTCAGTTTGAAAACATAGTTATTTTGGAAAAACATAAAATAATTAATTCTTTGGGACTTGGAATCTTTTATATGCATCATTACACTGTATTTACTTTGTACTTACGCCAACAAAAATTTGTCACACTGATGACCAGCCACCCTGTATAACAGACAGACAAACAAACAGACATAGCTAGTATTATAAGTATTAAAGAGTAGGATATACGCAACATTTCTCTGCAACATCAATTGCTGTGTTTTTAAAATATACAGTGCTGAAATAATAATTAAACAATAATTAAAACAAAATTCAAAAGTTTTAACACTATCCGACATTATAAGAAAAACGTACTGTCATTTCCCTGAAATGAAAAAATCTATGGGAGAATCAAAATGTTAACTCAAGTAAAAGTAAAAAAAGCAAACTAAAACCAAAACAAATCTAACAGCTTATGTGTCTTCAATATTTTAAAGGTGATAAATTACAGAACTTTAGAGTTAGTATAGAACATATACTGACATATAAACATCATTGAAGTTTTTTTTATGTTGGCACACAAATTAAATATAATAAACACGTAGTATGTTTAAAAAAAAATAGGAAGTAACTATGAGAAACCTAAATCCTTAATACTTAACGTTGTGTTTTTGTACTAGGATGTACATAGTTTTTTGCTCGCAGTTGCCTTGAATCTTGACTCCTAGTCCATCCCATCCTATATCTAAGTGGGAAACTGGAGGGATAAATATTTCAAAAAGTTCCCTCGCTACCTGCAGAACCCGCGTGGCAGCTCAACTGTTTTACAAACCTACAAAACTGACCCTTATAATCCGCTCTAATGATCGTGGCAGTTCAAGTATCTCGGGACGGCCATAAAACTCGTGGCGGTTCAATAACAGCCAGAATTAGACAAAGACAAACGGACATATTTAATTGAGAGCAGGAAATAAGTAGAGAAGAGAAGAATATTCAATTGTATTTTTTCAATGTATGCCTGGTAATAGGAAAGAAATTTCCACTAGGCAGACCAAGAATGAAGTGGGTGGACGAAGTTCAAAAACGTGTTTAAAAGACTTTTTATTACCTACTTTCAAGTAGCAGAAGGTGGAAGAGAAATGTCAATCGATTTTTGGCAAGGCAAAAAAATGCTGGAGGTTTCAATGATCGAGGAATTATTAACTTAATCCAATTATTTTATTACCATGAATCTTGTCAAAAAACTAGGTCTAAATTGATTATTAAATGTCCAGAAGGAAATCAATTGGTAGGATGTGGCCAACCGCTCAACTCTACACTGTTGGTTTTGTTGTACATAACTTACTCTTTTGTTGTGCCAACATTGAGTGCATTATTAACTAACCTTAGTTAAACAGCGAAAATAAATAATCTGTAAAAAAACCTGCATAGGCCTAGATAAAATAAGGGATTTTCTTACCAGCGGCTTATGAGAATCCCACAACGTGGGAACTTTCTTTCCCACATCATTGTAAGCTACTGGGATCTCTTCGGTTACCAGACAAATGCCAAGTTCTTTATCAACACCAGTGGTGTGCAGGAGTTTGACAGCCTCCCAGCTGGCATTTACAGTATGATTCCCAAAAGGCCCGAATCCAGTCACAATCACAGTGTTCCTCATTTCACACTTAGAATTTTCATGTAGTTCTTGTTCTTGAAGTGCTTCCATGACCTCCTTCAAGTGTAAAAAAAAAACTGGAATATGAATATACTGTAGCTCAAATATTCAAATCAAAACAATATGATTAAACAAAACAAATAATAATTCAAATCACAAACAAAGTTGAGGATCCGCCGACTTTCTGGAAAGATGCTCTTATGTCAGTTTTGACTGACGAGAGGAAAAATATGAACTTTATAAAATAATGTAACAATGACGAATCACCTGTCTGAATAGGATGTTAGGCTATGTGATTATTAGAAAATAAATAACTCTCTTTTGGGCTCGGTCCTGGGCCCTCTTTTGTTTCTCATTGTTGTGAATGACCTCCATCTCCAGGGCAGAGCACTCCTGTATGCTGATGACACCTCAATAATAACTAGAGGGAAAGTTATAAACCAAGTTTTGATAGAGGCAGAAGCTGCACTGGATGCTGCTAAAATCTGGTTTGCCAGAAATCGGCTACAGTTGAATGGAGACAAGACCCAGAGGATGTTATGCACTTTAAGCAAAACAATGAATATTGATCAGCAAAGCAGCGTGAAATTGCTGGGCTTCAGCCTAGACCCTAAGTTTACCTGGGAACAACATATCAGTCATGTATGTGTTAAACTCTCCCGTGTGGTTTTTCTTCTGTGGAAACTTAGGGAGGTCGTCACTGATAAATATTTGATAAATGTATATCATGTCCTATTTCAAAGCCATATCAGATGTGGAATCCTGCTCTGGGGACATGCTCCTGGCTGTATAAAAGTGCTTCGTCTGCAGAAGAAGGCAGTCAGAGTGCTGTCAGCCGCTGGTTATAGAGACCACTGTAAGCCCCTATTCGCCAACCTTAAGGTTATGACCATCTTCAGCCAATATGTTTATTACGGCTTGATTAATCTCAAGAATAACATAGGTGAATATCAACAGAGGGGTGATCTCCATAAACATGACACCAGGCATGCACAGAAACTTGACATTCGTCGATGCAGGTTATCAAGATCCTTGGCAGCCCATCCCATCCCAGCCATGCGATTCTACAACATGTTACCGCCTTGGGCCCACACTGAAGACATGAAAGCTTTCTCCATGCGGATTTTTAACAAACTCACAAATGAGCCGCTGTACTCTTTTTAGGAAGTGTCTGGCGAGTACTTCTCGAACATATAATATGCACCGCCATCACTAGTTTTTCTATTTTTAAATATTGGTTAAATAAGAATGTTATTTTTTTATTAGTTTTATTACTGTAATTTTATTTGACGCAGTCTATCCAACAAGTGTTGGGCAACGACATAGGAGTTGGTCTGGTCTGGTCTACTTGTAAACATTAGTTAAATGGACTTGTGGTTGCTTGTAAGTTAAATGGGTAGACTTCCGTATCTGTTGCCACAATCAACCGAATGAAAATATTGATTATTCGATTGTTTAATTCGATATATCGTTTGGTTAGTTATGTTAGGTTAACCTTACCTAACTAACCTAACGATATATCGAATAATGGATAAGTTATATCAGTCGATATTTTCATTCGGTTGTTTGTGCCAACAGATACAGAAGTCTACCCTTGTAAATACTTTGTTGTTTTCACTGTAAGATAATCAATATGTTTTAACAATTAAGTATTCATTTGACTTGGCTAATGCATGTAGGCCTACTGTATATGTTGATCTGGCCTAATAAATGGCTCATTGACTTATAAATAAATATAATTCGTAGGAAAACAAATAAAGTATCCACATTAAGCTTCCTGCCTTCCAAAAGTTGCATCAATGCCAGCCTTGGCAGCCCACATACAAAATGTTAAAAAGGCTTTAAAGAATTAATAGCGGCTGCACTTTACTTGACGTCCTACACTCATTCGATTGGTTTTTTCGATTCGATATTTTCATTCGATATATCGTTTGGTTAGTTAGGTAGTTAGGTTAGGTTAACCTTACCTAACTAACCAAACGATATATCGAATGAACAATCGATATATCGATCGATATTTTCATTCGAATGAGTGTAGGACTGAGAATGAATGAGAGAGAATGAGAATGATTTATTTCCTGAAAGCAAACGATTTATTTCCTGATATTATGTACAAGGAAACGTCAATACATCAAAATCTTAGCCTAAGCCTGCAACACACCATGCAGAGAATTGAAAAACAAAAACAAAACTTACGTCAAGTAAAGTGCAGCCACCAAAAGTATGTAGCCTACATATTAATTTAATAACTCACCTTTGTTTTGAAATATGTTAGTACAACAAAAAAACTTCTATTTCCAAACTTCAGAATCGAAAAGTAAACATATATAATCTTTTCATAACCTAACCTCTAACCTCGGTTCAGCTGTTCAGCAAATCAGCTTCAGTGACAGCAGCTGGAAACTAGCAAGCATGGCAAGCAACAGCCAACAGCCGAACAGCCGACACTGACAACCAAGGACACTGGCGAGTGACGAGGAGAGCACAAGTTCACATGTACAGAAACCTTATACTGACGTCATAAATATCGAATGTATATATCGATTGTACCGGGTGGTTACGGGTTTTTCTTCGGAATTTAAGTATCGGTTGCACCGAATAAGTAAAGGGGTTTTTTTGTAACACTTTATTTGACGAATTGAATACTCTCGGTAGTTTATCCATTATAAATCAAATAGTAGATTTTAATTTTTTTTTTTATTAATTATGTTACATGAATTCAATGTAATAAATAAAATTTTTCTCATTTTAGTTTTATACCATAAGTCCTTTCATATGTAACATTACTCAATTACTTTTATTTATATATATATAATGACTCATATATAATTGGGTTAGGGTTCACTTACTCTACGAATCATTGACACAATGAGCCTCCAAATATGTAATTCTTAAAACACATGGCTCACTTACTCTACAAATCATAGTCTATACGAGCTTCGTAAATAATATTGAAGGTTCACTTGCACTACAGGCTCGTATACTATACGAGCCGATCAAAAATATCAAATAAATGAAGAGGGTTCACTTACTCTACAGATCATTGTGCCTATGAGCCAAGCGTATGAATTCTTGAATAATTCAGGAATAAGCTCGTATAGTATACGAGCCAAAATACTGAATTTAAATAAATTACAGGAGTAGGCTCGTATACTATACGAGCCTATTTCATGATAACTATTACACAAATAGAAGACGGCTCACTTACTCTACAGTGCATTGGCACAATGATCTGTAGAGTAAGTGAACCCTCTACAAATATTAGAAGGCTCACTTACTCTACGGTTCATTTAGCTACTCGTCGCGCGGTTTGCAGCACATCGTTGCAGGCGTGTATGGTAAACCAATACCGCAGTTCTGCCGTTCTGCCTTACTTTTGCCGTTTACTAGTCTTGCAGCGTGAAAGAGAGCTTGTTATGTTAATGCATTGTTGAATTTTTAACTTGTGTACTCGTTGCTAGAAATCAAGCAATTATCAAGTACCGGTATTACAGGAGCTATTTTAAGAGTTATTACAGACTTAATTTTCAATTAATTAAAAAGACTCACGTAAAAGCTTATGCAACTAATGGAATTACTTACTGTGTTATGAACATTTCTATATAATTAAAGTTGTAAATATTTTAAAATTGTTTAGAAGATTGCCTTTTTAGTGTTTTCTACAAACGTGTCTCAACTTAAACACATAGCCGCATTAATGTTAATGTGCATGTGCATTTTCGCCAATGATAATGTACCAATGTCGACCGTAACAATGTCTAAACTTTACTTTAAAATGGATTTGTTGTTAAATTTTTTTATATTTATACATCATACATAATTTAAATGTTTTTACGTGACAAAATAAAGAAATATAACAAGCTACATTACATACAATATAATTTAGGCTTGAGCTAATGGAAAACTGTAGTTTTCGCATACTTGTCTTAACTTACAGATTCAATTACATCAGTAGAGAGTAAATGTCTGTTCTGGAACTTGATTTTTGGAAAAACACTGTCTCTTCTGGAACCGAGCTTTTTGTTTCAAAAGGCGAGTGCATTATTTACTTGAGGTTTTCATATAGGTTTGTTGGATTATAGAGTAGTATCAGAGCGATTGCTGCGCAACCTAGTAGAAATGTAACAAACTAATCGAGAATAAAGTTCACAATATGAATAGTAAAGCGCTTGCTGCGCAACCTATCAGAAATATAATGAACTATTCGAGCAAAAAGTTCATAAAATGAGATCAAGTGAGCAATGCCTTGGTTCCCTACCACTTTGAGTCTAATACTTTGGCACTGAGCTAACTTGATCTCTGATAAGCGTGCTCTAAACAGTTGCTATTATATTGCATTATATGGTAATTGCCATTTATTAATGAGATTTCATGGTGAACAGACTATAATGTCTCAGCAAGACAATCAGCAGCAGCCTCAAAGAAACCCTCCTGGCCAGGATTTAAGAAGGAACCTTTACCTGGATTTTCCTCTCCCATATCAAAGGTAATACGAACGTCAAGCTGATTCTAGCTCAGGGCGACCTGTTCAGAGTGGGTTTGTTTCTTCAACTAGCTGGTCACCTGGTGATGCAACGATGTACAAAGCACAGACAAAGTATGCACCGTCAGAGAGGAGTAGTGAACCATTACAAGATCGTAAAGTAACATGTGTTCAGGAGGAAGATGCTAATCATTTTGTGAGAGATTTGTTAAGTGATTTTTAGTTATAAAATAAAGCTTGTTTTTTGGTATAAAAGTGTGTATTATTTGCTATATCATTTAGTATAGTTCTTGACACCCATTAAGAAGGATGGAGGAAGAAAGAATGTTCAATATCTCTGAAAACTTTAGGGTTTTACTGAGAGAAGTTAATGATAAAACATATATTGCTTTTGAATCTAATGGTGATAATTTTGTTATCTATGCTCAAGCATGGGAAAAACTAAAACCATATCTACATGAAATTGATCAAGAGTTTATTAAAAGGCATGATTTTAAAAAGGAGCAAAACAAAGTGTTTTCAATTGTGGATAATTTTAAGATAGTAGTTGGGGATAATAAAACTAATGCATATGTAAAAATAGAGTTGGGAGATAGTGTAATTCAATTGGATGGTGAAAGATGGAAAAAATTTCAAGAAATATTTCCTACAATCAGTGAAGCATTTGAGGAACGTTATAACAACTAATTAACTTATCTGACATGAACTTTGGATGTGCTTATTTAGCTTAACCATGAACTTTGACTTATATTTGCGTCATAATTACACGTGATTAACTGGTATATAAGTGGTGTGATAGTTGAGTGATATATGTTATTTTGCATCACGGACTTCAAGCTGCTGTTTGAGTGCTCAGGTAAATTTTAGAATGGATTTGTTTAAAAGTTTTATTATTACTCATGATATGAAAGTGGAATTTAGAAATGTTCAGACTGATACAAAAATTATTATAACAATTAATTCTCCACTGGGAAGACAAAGTATTTCTTTGGATGTAGATAAATGGACAGAATTAAAGAAATCAATTACCGATATAGACAAAGAGTTTTATAAAAGATTTAATTACCAGTATTCAGACTTAAATGGAAGCTTTTATGAGGATGGGGAATAAATTATATCATATAATTTACAGGTTCAATGGAGTTTATTTTGGATTTCCAAGGATTCAAGAATAAGGATAATGAATTCATCATTAAGGAGCTAGCAATTATATCTACAGATGGGCAGATATACGAGCTTCAGCTTTTTCTACCCCCCTGCAGTCTACACGAGTTACCAAAGACAGTGAGGAAACAAGTACACTGGGTTGAACGGCATTTGCATGGTCTATATTGGAGTTCAGGATTCAAAGGTTACTCTCAGATTAAAGATATATTTAAATATATTGATATAAAAGGAAATGTGTATGTTAAGGGTTTGGAAAAGAAACATTTTATTGCTCAACTTCTGTCTGAGTTCGAGGTTAAGGTGTTCAATCTAGAAGATTTGGGGTGTCCAAAGCTATCAGATCTAAAAGCAAGAGTGCACTTAGGTTCTTTCAAAACTTGCAGTTTTAGCCATTCCCCAACTAACTGTGCATACATTAATGTTCATGTTTTACTGCAATGGTGGAATATTGAGAAGCAGGTTGCTATTTACACTAGTAAAAATATAGATTTAGCTATAAAAGAATGGGTTGAAAAAGGATATGTGATGCAGGATGAGTTGGTTAAGTATCTGCCAAAACAGTTTATCATTAACTATGTGAATGTCTTAGAATATATCTATCACAAACTTCCACTGCATTTGCAGTCTGATCCAGACATCATAGAAAACTTGCGTTGCCAAGAACACTATCAGTTTGCTAATGAAGGTGATGCAATTGATGGTCCAGTTATCAAAAGAAAATATTGCTATTTTTGCAAACATAAGATAACCTTTGATCTGCTTGCTAAAAATGAAAACACATTACTTGATTCAGTGGCTAATGCACCATGATGGAGTCACCAACTTCAGCATCTTGTTCCTCAACATCTAGTAATTCAGGTGAAGCTTCATGTTGCAACTTATTTAATTTTAAAAAAAGTGATTTGATTAAATCTGGGTTTTATAGAACTAAATTATTTGAAAATATTGTTTGTTGTGGATGTGGATGGGAATCTGGCTCTAGAAAGTTAACATTAAAACACATTAATTTTGTACATAAATTAACAAATCCAGATTGTGAAATGAGTAAAAATGTGTCTTTGGATTTTAAAAATTATAGCCAATTAAAGGGAAGTGTAAGGGAAATGGAAGATGTGATGAGAGAGACATTTCTAGCGTACCCTAAAGCTTATCCAAACATAGAGAAGATGGTTCAAGCTGGATTCTACTATACTGGTATTGATGATGCTACTACTTGTGTAAGCTGTGGCCTTATGTTGGATCAGTGGAATCCTGATGAAGATCCAATGGTGGAACACAAAAAAGCATCACCATATTGTGATTTATTGTAAATACATAAAAGGTTTTTGATAATTGTTTTATTTGATGTGTTGTAAAATAAATAATTTTATGTTAAAAGTGTTCTGTAGCAATTATTTTCATCATTCCCTTTCAAGCACTGTAGTAAAATGTCAAATATCAGAGCTGAGATTGCTAGTGAGTTACACAAACAGTCAAGAAAAAACTTTCCAACCCGGTATGTAGAGTTAAAAGGTATTAATGATCTTTATCAAGCTGATTTAGTAGAAATGATACCTTTTTCATCAGTGAACAATGGATATAAATACATTTTGACTATGATTAATTGTTTTTCAAAATATGCAATTGCTGTTCCTTTAAAATCAAAAACTGCTAAAGAAGTTGTTATTGCATTAAAACCTATTTTGGAAGTTCATAAAATGAAGCATTTTCAAACTG